GTACTCTGGAAGTATAAAAGCGCCTTGTACTGATCGATAGTGCAACTTTTCCTCGACACATTCGATCCTGTGACATCTGGGTACCCGGCTACGACTTACTTCGTACCCTGCTAATCCAGGAATCCCACGACAACCCTACTTCCGGGCATTTCGGTGTCCACAAAACGCTGAAGACGTTGCAGCGCAATTATTATTGGCCGAACATGGCCGACGACGTGTGCAAGTACGTGTCCTCCTACTTCGCCTGCCAGATCATGAAATCATCCCATCAGCGCGCAGCCGGACTACTACAGCCGTCGGATCCGCCTGAGCGACCCCGGCAACACATCACGATGGACTACATGACAGGACTGCCGGCCGGTCAAAGCGAAAACGACGCCATCCTCGTGGTCATTGACCGACTCACAAAAATGGTGCACTTCATCGCCTGCCAGCAGACGATCATGGCTGAGCAAACTGCCCAAATGTTCATCGCCAACGTCATTCGACTACACGGACGGCCTACCGCCATCATTTCAGACCGAGACCCGAAATTCACATCGAATTTCTGGCGCCACCTATGGGACCAGTTCGGCACCAAACTACTGTTTTCCTCAGCCTACCACCCACAGACCGACGGGCAGACCGAAAGAGTCAACCAAACTATGGAGCAACTCATTCGGACTACCTGCACTAACCCACAGACATTGGAGAAATCCCTTCCACTGCTGGAATTCGCGTATAATAACGCGCCCTCCGCCACAACCCATCAATCCCCGTTTTTCCTCAATTACGGACAAGACCCAGTGGTACCCTCTACCCCGAACATCGAGACACCCGTGCCCCGGTCCCAGAAATTTGCCGAAGACATCCTCGCCGCCCGAGAAAAAGCAGCTGAGGCAATCAGGAAAGCCAACCTTGTCGCAAGCCGCCAAGCCGATCGTCATCGACGTGACGTCGCTTACAAAGTGGGAGATCTCGTCCTTCTAGACACTCGCAATTTGCGTCTGCCGATCCCGAGCAAGCTCCGGCCAAGATTCTGCGGCCCTTTTCAAGTGACCAATATGGTTACACCTGTCACCGCTCACCTCCGACTCCCGGTTGACTGGCGTCACCACCCGGCTTTCCACGTCAGCCTCCTACGGCCTTACGACCCCAGTTCGTCGGAATTGGCACGCCACCGCGGTACAACGCAATTGACACCCCTGCAAGAGCCGACTGTCAAATTATATATATATATATATATATATATCTCTATATATATATATATATATATATATATATATTTGTGTAGGTTTGGTAGGTTATCGAACTCTACTGTAGAGGGTACAATCCCCTCCTTGCATCCCTCTCTCTTTCTAGTCTAGCTCTCTTTCCTCTCGTCAACTTTCTCTCCTAGCTCCTAAACCTCTCGCCATTTCATGGCCGCCTTCCTTCCTAGCTAAGTTAGCCTTCTAACATGGTATTAGAGCTGTACGTTCCTTGTGGGCCTGCTCCTCACGCTTCCGCCGCTTGCTTGTTTCTCTCTCTCTCTCTCTCTCTCTCTCTCTCTCTCTCTCTCTCTCTCTCTCTCTCTCTCTCTCTCTCTCTCTCTCTCTCTCTCTCTCTCTCTCTCTCTCTCTCTCTCTCTCTCTCGCTGCCATGGCAGCCGCGTCAAGCTGCTGTGGCCGCGTGATGCCGCGCTGGCCCCGTCACTCCGTGCTGGCCCTGTCATGCCGCGCTGGCCCCGTCACTCCGCGCCGGCCCCGTCACTCCGCGCCGGCCTCGTTACTCCGCGCTGGCCCCGTCACTCCGCGCTGGCCCGTCACGCCGCGCTGGCCCCGTCACGCCGAGCTGGCCTCGTCACACCGTGCTGGCCCCGTCACGCCATGGCCCCGTCACTCCGCGCCGGCCCCGTCACATCGCCGTGCCTCAGGGCTTCGTCGTGCCGCCGTCGTCGCGTCAGCGCACGGGCGGCAGTGGGCCACGCACTGGTTTAGGCACCAGGCAGCAAGCCCCCACTCCAACTCGCCGCACCTCCCCAGCTCGTCGTGTCGGACCCTGCTCGCCGCGTTGGACCCAGCTCGCTACGTCGGACGTAGCTTGCCGCGTCGGTCCCAGCGGACCCAGCTAGCCGCGTCGGTCCGAGCTCGCAACGTCGGTCCCAGCTCGCTACGCCAGCTGGCTCCGCCCCACCACAGCTCATGAAGGCCTAGCTGTTAAAATTATATAAGTTATAATTTAATATAGGCTTGGTAGGTTGTTACTGAACCTTTCTGTAGAGGGTACAAACCCCTTCTTGTACTCCTCTCTCTTCCTAATCAAACCCCTTTTTCTTCTCGACATTCTCTCCCTTCCTAGATCCGTTTTCCTCACGCTATTCCATGGCGGCCTTCTTCCTAGTATCCTAGCCAACCTAGCCTCCTAAGTTTAAGAACCTTGAGTCCTAAGTTTCTAAGATGGTATCAGAGGAGGAGATCCTCCCTGCTGGACCGCCTCCTCACGCTTCCGCCATTTACTCCTCACCCTCATTCGCTCGAGCGGCCATGGCGGCCGCGTTTTGCTGCAGTGGCGACGTCGCGCTGCCACTGGCCGCGTCGTGCCGCGACCGGCTCCTTGTTGCCTGCCGTCGCGGCACCAAGCTGTCGCGACGGCCCCTTGTTGCCTGCCGTCGCGGCACCAAGATGTCGCGACGGTCCCTCGTTGCCTACCGTCGCGGCGCCAAGGTGTCGCGACGGCCCCTTGGTGCAGCCGCCGTTCGTCCGCCTCGCCGCTGCGACATTGACGGTGCGCTGTGGCGGCGTCTGCGGCAGCCGACGGCATCGTCGGGCTGCGGCCGGCCGAGCGACGTCTGTGGCGTCGCCGGGCCTGCCGCCCGCTCGCCACAGACGGGCGTCCCTCAGGACGACGTCCTCCCGCCAGTAAGCGCCGCGCCATTTATGGCGCGTCGCTGAAGACTCGCCTCACCCCGCCCCCTCCCCTCCCCCCCCCACCTGCACCTGCTTCCCCTGCATCCCCCCCTTTCTTGCTGCAGCCGATGACTGCCATGTGAGGGACCTCTCCACCGCCGAGGAGACAGGACATGCCGCCGAGAGGGCGGGGGCCGCCGCACCAGCCTCTGTCGTTCGAGCCGCCGGCGCCGCCGCTGTTGCCACAGGCCTGGAGCCGCTGCACACCGCCGCCGCCGCCGTCGTCACTGTCGCTGCTGTCGCCATTGCCGTCTCAAGGGGTCGTGAGACCTACCCTCTTCCGGAGTCGTTGCGGCTCCTGCTGGGAATGGGGGTGCTGGGCTAGGGGGTGTGGGTGTGGGTGTGGGTGTGGGGGTGTGCGTGGGCTTGACACTACCAAGCCTAGGGGGTGTGTTAAAATTATATAAGTTATAATTTAATATAGGCTTGGTAGGTTGTTACTGAACCTTTCTGTAGAGGGTACAAACCCCTTCTTGTACTCCTCTCTCTTCCTAATCAAACCCCTTTTTCTTCTCGACATTCTCTCCCTTCCTAGATCCGTTTTCCTCACGCTATTCCATGGCGGCCTTCTTCCTAGTATCCTAGCCAACCTAGCCTCCTAAGTTTAAGAACCTTGAGTCATAAGTTTCTAAGACTAGCACCCTCCTTCCTTGCAGTCACCTCTGCTGCTGGGTATGGGGGTGCTAGGCTTAGAAGTGTTGCATGTGGGGTGGGTTTGTGGCTACCAAGCCTAGGGGGGGTGTCAAATTATATATTTATATGTATATATATATGTATATATTTGTGTAGGCTTGGTAGATTATCGAACTCTACTGTAGAGGGTAAAATCCCCTTCTTGTATCCCTCTCTCTTTCTAGTCTAGCTCTCTTTCCTCTCGTCAACTTTCTCTCCTAGCTCCTAAACCTCTCGCCATTTCATGGCCGCCTTCCTTCCTAGCTAAGTTAGCCTTCTAACACCGACGACTGAGCCCTTGAAAATTCTCGGCCATCGCGTCACGACGCAGCTGAACCGTCGGATGGTGGATTTCCTCGTCAGATGGCGTAATCTAACGTCCGAGGATGACAGCTGGGTGCCCCTCGCTTTGCTAGAATCACACCCGATTCTAACAGTGTAGTACCTGTCAGAAACCCAGTCACTAACCACTGGGTTAAAAGAGCTTGTTGAATAGCGGGTAAGTGCGCCCATAGCCCCCCAGGCTCTGCACCTGTGGCCCTTCCCCGAGGATCTCAAGGGCAACCCCAGCGGGTCACTCAACACCCCCCTCCCCCCGCTGGGATAGGTGGAAGACACAAGCGCCTCTGCAGCGCTGGCACTGGGAGTTGAACCCAAGACCTTTGGCTCTGATACCATGTCAGAAACCCAGTCACTAACCACTGGGTTAAAAGGGCTTGTTGAATAGCGGGTAAGTGCGCCCATAGCCCCCCAGGCTCTGCACCTGTGGCCCTTCCCCGAGGATCTCAAGGGCAACCCCAGCGGGTCACTCAACAGTACCAGCGTCGGAATGTTTCTGATGCCCGCGGTCTTGTTTAGGAGGGGGGGGGGGGGGGGGGGGGGGTTGTGTAAGGAATTTCCATTCCTTTTTAAGTCGTACGCTAGCGCGTACACCCGAACTCATCGACTCGTCACGTTCGGCCTCGTTTATCGGCCCAACCCTTCCCCGAGTCGCATCCGGCACTGACGCCACATTGCCGAACCTAACCACGTTCCGAGGTTATCGCCCCAGAACGCCAACCCCTCTATAACCTCGTGCCTTCATTGCAATAGCGACCTTGTATTCTCGCGTTATATTTCATTTTCACTTCCTATATCACAACAGCGTTCAACCTTTCTGAATGGTCGACCCTGAGGCATGTTCATAAGAAATGTCCCGAAGGCATGTCTCAGGAGCACATCCCTTGCACGTTTTATACGGTCCAATCTGGTGCTTCGAGTTTCAAAGCGGTGAGGCACGAACACCAAGTCTCAACGTTTCGCACCGTGCAAAACCGCATAGAATGAATGTGGGACATGCTCTTAGGACACACTGTCACCTGTCCTCCAGCAAGAACCATTCTTTCGCCTCACATGTCCGTTCCTATTCGCAGCACTGTGCCCATAGATGCGTACTAGGCAGAATGCCGACGTGCATCAACAACATCTCACCTCACCGCCATCCGGATCCCCCTCTCCTCCTGTGCGAGAGGATTTCTCAGCAGCGAAAGCTCTTGCGACGGATGCGAAGGTTCTCGCCAGGCTTTTTCGTCGCGAATCACAGACGCCTCGTCTTCGGCTATCGAGGCAAGACCCGCGTTGCCCCTTAGCAATCGTCCCATGGACTGTCTAACGCACAGCGGCATCGTCCGCCTCTCGTCTAGCCCTGTCTCTAGAAGCAGCAGCGGTCCGAGCAGCGTTGCTGGCGGCGGCAGGGACGGCGGAAGAGACGGCGGCAGAAGCGGCGGCGGCAGTGGAGGCGGCAGGAGGCACCAGCGTCGATTTAGGAACCGCCGGGTGGTTTGCCGCGCGGAGTCCGTTATGGTTATAATGATGCTGGTCGTATCGGGGATGGCTCTGGCGGGCTCGCTGCTGCTGCTTCCCATGCGGCTGCCGCGGATTGGCCTGGGCAGAGGGCTGGTGGGGCCGCGCAAGCTAGTGTACCGGCATAGCGACGCGTCGATGGCGTCGATGGGGGAAGGGGAGGAGTCGTCGGTTCGCACTGTGGAGAATACGCACCCGAACAAGTCTTTACATTTTTCGACACCATCCGTGTCAGGATCCACGTCATTCACGACAGAATCGATGTCAGGATCATTGACAGCATCGACGTCAGCATCGATGGCATCTAATTCCTCTCGCCCGCCCTCGGGCCTGCCCTCCTCTCACGCATCCCCCTCTCTCGCCATCTGCCTCGTCGGCTCCCCGCGCGACTTCCACATAACGGGTCCCTCTATAAAGCGGCATCTGCTCTCCGCGTACCCCTCCGCGTCCACGCACGTCGTTGTCAACAGCCCCTTCGACCATACCTCCGCGCGTCTTCTCGCTCTCGCCCTCGCATCCCCTCAGCTACCACCACAACCGCTCTCAACCTCAACACCTCCACTCTCCACCCCTCCACCACCTCTTTCCACCCCTTTGACACCCCCTAACGCCTCTCGGGTTCTAAGTCCCCTCGAAGCATCCCCATCCCCCCCTCAAGTCCCTTTCCCCCTGGACCCCGCCTTCTCCCGCGTCTCTCTTGTGCGCATCTCCCCCCACGTCCCCCTGCCCGTCTCCCCCCAGGCCTCGCGCGTGCTCAGCGCGGAGGGCTCCCCCAGTGGCGCGCAGGTGGGCTGGTGGGGGGGAGGGGGCAGGGGGACGGGGTAGAGGTGGGGGGTCGTGGGGATAGTGGGGGGAGAGACGAGGAGGTATGCCTGGTATTTGTTTCGTCTTCTTTGAATGTTGTTTCGAGTGGTAGGGTGGGGTGCGGGTGCAGAAGAACCCGAGGGGAAGGGAGAGTAGGAGTGGGAGAGAGGAAGGGGCAGGGAGAGAGGAAAGGGGTTGGGAGGATGGCGCTTGCTTGATGCATGAGTGCGTTCTCCCGATTGTTTGCGTGCGTGTTCTGCCCTGCCTCCTCCCTGTTAGGTTTTTTAGAATTCAAAAAAACCTAACACTCCCTGATACGTCTATTTCCCCCCCATGGGCACTGTCTCGCAGGGCTTGCTGCAGTACTTCCATCCGGTGGGAGGGGTGAACCGTGTGCCTCCCTCCCTCTTCCATGTCATTGGCATTCTTGTTGCGTGTTACTGCCTCTTCCATGTCGCATCTCTCCCCATGGGCCCTGTCTTCCAGGGCTTGCTGCAGTACTTCCATCTGGTGGAGGGGTGTGCCTCCCTAATCGCCTTGCTCGAACACTGTGCCTCCTCCTCTTCCTCTTCCTCCTCCTCCTCCTCCCCTCACCGCCACCAACCAGTTGAGAAACAACCCTTGCCCTCCCCTTATTCTTCTTCTTCCTCCTCCTCCACATCCTCCTCCCCACCCCGGTCTCCCTCTCCCCATCCCTTGCACTTTGACTACATCATCCGCTCTCGCCTCGACTCCTTCTGGGCGGCACCCGCCCCTCCTCTCTCCTCCCTCCATCCCCCTTCCTCCACACTCACACCCGCTCCTGCCGGCGCTGCTGTTTCTGCAGCCTCTCCTGCGGACGCCGCTGCCACTGAAGCAGCTGGTAGTAAAGCGCCTGCCACAGCCCCTCTCTCTGCGTCAACTACCTCTACCTCCGCTTCTGCCTCTGCCTCTGCCTCTGACCCAGCACTCTCGGCCATAGAATCATCATCCCCTGCCACATCAGCAGCACATGATACAGCCTCAGCAGTATCCCATGCCCCGTCAGCATCATCATCATCAGCAACAGCAGCAGCGGCGGCGGTGGTGGCAGTGCCGCTGGGGTCAGAGTGGGGGGGGTTGAACGACCGCTTTGCCATGGGGCCAAGGAGAGGCGCGTGGCAGGGGCTCATGCGCCTGGCTGCTGTGGCAGCCATGGATGGACGCGGGATCAGGTGATGCCCCAGGTGAGAGGGGGGTGGTAGGAGGAGGGGGGGAGCTGAGGGGAGGGGGGAATCGGGGGTGGGGAGGAGGAGAGGGGGGAGAAATTGGGGCGAGGGGGAAAGGGGGAATTGGGGCGGGGGGGGGTGGGGGGTGGGGGGGAAGGAGCATGCTGAGCTGAGAGGAGGGAGGTGAGACAGAAGGAGAGGATTTTGTTTTTTCTTGGGCTTTTGTCTTTGTGTTGAAGTTCCCAAGCAACCCTCTTGCCATGCGTGTGTGTGCGTGTGTGTGTGCGTGCGTGTGTGTGTGTGTGTGTGTGCGCGCGCGCGTGCGTGTGTGCGTGCGTGCGTGTGTTCGTGCGTGTGTTGTGCATGTGCGTGTGTTCTATGTGTGCGTGCATGTGTGTGTGTGCACGTGTGTGTGTGTGTGTGTGTGCGTGTGCATGTGCTGTGTGTGTGTGTGTGTTGCGTGTGTGCGTGTGTGTGTGTGTGTTCTATGTGTGCATGCATGCGTGTGTGTCTGTGAGTGCGTGTGTATGTGCGTGCGTTAAGTGTGTGCGTGTGCTGCGTGTGTGCATGTGTGTGCATGTGTGTGCATGTGTGTGCATGTGTGTGCGTGTGTGTGTGCTCCTGGGTGGCGTGCAGGGGTGTGATATCGGAGCAGGCGTGGCAGGAGCAGCTGAGCATGACCGGGACCCGGGTGTTGAAGCTCAATGTGTCCTTCTGTGTGCTTACTCGCCGCTTCACTCACCGTCTCTCCCCCACCACCGGCAACAGCATCATCAACTGCAACAACACTGCCACCACCAACAGCAGTAGCAGCAGCAGCAGCAGCAGCAACAATAGCAGTGCAAACCTGAATAACTGCAGCAGGAGCACCAACACCAACACCTCTATCACCACCAGCATCAGCAGCACCAAGAACACCACCCAAAGCAGCCCCTCCCCTCTCTGCCAGCCCTACGTGTTCTCCCTCGCCTCGCCCATCCCCATGAACGGCGCCTACTGCCGCCCCTGCACCCATCCCTGCGCCCCTGCCTCCTCCCCTGCTGCTGCCGCCGCCTTCAACTCCCTCCCCTCGCCGCCCTCCCTTCACCATGGCTCCGCCTTTCCTCTGTTCCGCGCTGGAATGGAGCTCTGCCCGGCTGTGGACACTCTAGGGGACGATGGGGACTGGGAGGGGGATTGGGGCGGGGAGGAGGGGGGAGAGGAGGAGGGTGGAAACGGAAGGGAGGGAGGGAAGAGAGGGGTTGGTGGAGGGAGGAAAGGGGAGGGGGATGGGAGGAGTGGACAGGATGGGAGTGGGGTCGAGGCGAGCGAGAGGATTGAGAAGGAAAGGAGCGAGAAGGAAAGGAGCAAGAAGGAAAGGGGTGAGGAGGAGAGGTGGCAGGATGGGGTTGCGCGCGTGGCAGGGCCGGCAGCAGTGCAGGAGAGTGAGAAAGTGGAGCAGTGGGTGCGAGACTACTCCTCGTGCCTTGCTCTCTTCCACCACATGCGCGCACAGCCGCATGTGACTTGGATGGCACCTCCCCCAGAAGTCATCTGCACGCGAGCCCGCCTGGGGCCCTCGGTGCCCCTCGCCTCCTCTCCTGGCCTCGCGCCCTTCCCTCTCTTCCTCAACCGCCTCTCCTATACCAGGTACAACCCTATTCCTCCTCTTCCACCGCTCCTCCCCCCTACGAGCACCTTCCCAGCACGCGTTCCCTCCTCCTTCCACGCCCTCACGCCTCTCCATGCATCCCCCTGGCAACTCCATGGTGGTGTTCTGCTCAGAACCCTTTTTGAGAATTCTCAAAAAGCTCATCATATGCATGCCTCCCCCCACACACCTATTCCATCCCCCCTTTGAGCGCCGTGGTGTACCTCTCCTCTCACCCCTCTTTCACCAGCCTCTCTTCCATGGAGCTGTGCCTGCTGCTCTGCTCCGAGTGACACACCTCTGTGCCCATCTCTGCGCTCGGCCCCACACACGGCCATTCTGTCTCCCCTGGTAGCACTGTCGTTCTCCTCCTCTCAGGCCCTTCCCTCACCGACCTACTCACCGACCCCTTCTCCTTCCCTTCCCTCGGAGCTGCTCCTGCTGCTGCCCTACGTTTCACATTAATTCCCTATACCCAGAACTCTTAAAACCAAGACTTTAGACCCTACCCCACCCCACTCGCGCTCATTCCGTCCCCTTGCAGCGCAGTGGTGTGCCTGTCTACCGACCCCTCACTCACGGACCTCTACTCCATGGAGCTGCGCCTGCTGGTGTTCTGAGGTTCACGTGCCAGCACCCCCCCTCTGTATCCCTTTCTGCCCTGTCCCTCTCCTTGCGTCCCCCTGTCAGCGCCGTGGTGTGCCTGTCCTCGGACCCCTCCCTCACGGACCTCTTCTCCATGGAGCTGCGCCTGCTGCTGCCGGGGATACAGCCGCGCTGCATGGACTGGCAGGGGCGCACACCCCAGCTTTATGGGGGCGATGGGGACGATGGGGAGGGCGAGGGGGAGGGCGAGGGGGAGCGGGAAAATGATGGGGATGGTGATGGGGAAGCGGGTGGGAGTAGGAGCACAGGGGATGATTTCCCTGGCAACAATGGTGGTGGTGATGGTGGAGATGGTGCTGCTGATTCTGATGCTGATGCTGATGAACAGTCTGTTGTGGATGCCAGTCGGCGCATTTTGGCGCACATCAAGGCTCATGGGCCTCTGGACGTGCTCGTGGTACACACACACTCCTTCCAGGCCATTACATCGCATCGCCTCTCTCTCTCTCTCTCTCTCTCTCTCTCTCTCTCTCTCTCTCTCTCTCTCTCTCTCTCTCTCTCTCTCTCTCTCTCTCTCTCTCTCTCTCCTCTCTGCTGCCATTCACCCACCCCTGCATCCGACCGACCGTTTGCCTGCTTGAGACCATGCATTATGTGCCACGTGGCTTGTCATTGTGATAGAAGACTTGTTTTGCGACGTCTCAAAACAAATCTTCTATCCGGCTGTTCCTTCTCCATGTGTTATGTGCCACGCAGCTTGTCAAATACTCCGTGCTTGTTTTCTTGCTTGCTTGCTTGCCTGCTTGTCTCTCTCTCTACCAGGTGCCAGAAGTTCTCCGGGCAGTGAGGACAGTCAGAGCATGGCGCAGAGATCAGGTGCGTTGTGGTTCCTTCTTGCTTTCATCGCATGCATGTGGCCATATTCGTGCCACCACATGCATGCCACCACATGTGTGCCACCACATGCATGCCATCGCATGCGTGCCATGGAGATACAGGCCATTCCAACTCATACCATCACATCTCCAACCATCCAATCTTCTGTCCTGCAAACATGCACCCACTCGCCCTTGCATTACCATTTCTCCAACACTCACCCATTCCCTCTCTCCTCTCTCCTCCCTCCTCCCTCCGCTCCCAACCCTGCCGCTCCCTCCCCTCCCTTTCCGCCCCTTGCCAGGCCAGTCTGCCTGTCTGTCAGTTGATGCTCTCCGTCCCACCCCCACTGGAAGAGGCATCTGCGTACCACACCACCTTCTCTCCTCCTTCCTCTCCTCCTCTCTCCCCTCCTCTCTCTCCTCCTTTCTCTCCTCCTCTCTCCCCTTCTCTCTCGCCGCACCTGTCTCCAGACCTCCCCGCTGCACATGATGACCCTTTGACGCACTACACCCATGCCTTCTCCTCCCTGCTCTCAGACCTCCGCCTTCTTGGGTGAGTGCATCCACCCCTTTCTACTTCGTTGCTGTTAACACCATCGCACCCTGCCATCACCCTTCCTTCCCTGCTTGAGGAGTCTATTTTTGAGGCGCCTCAAAAATAGACTCCTCTCTACACCCATGCCTTCTCCTCGCTGCTCTCAGGCCTCCGCCTGCTTGGGTGTGCGCATCCATCCCTCCGTCTCCCTTCTTTCGTTGCCGTTAACACCATCGCATCCTGCCAACTCCCTTCCTTCTCTGCTGGCCCCCCATCACTCAGAGGTCCCTCCTTTGCTCCCCCTCCTTACTTCTGCAGATCTCTATACTCCACTGCTCCCCTTATGCATTCCTCCCCGTGCCTCCAACTGCTCCCCTCTATTGCTGCTTTCCCCTCGCGTCGCCCTCTCTCTGTGCCTCGCCCTCGCTCAGTGCTGCCTCTCTCCCGCCGTGCCCCCATTGCCCTCGTTTCATCATCACCAGCTTCCATCTGGCGGTGTGTGAGGCGGATGCAGCCTACGCCACGCATGCATGCCTCTTCTTCAGCGTGCACCACTGCTTGCAACTAGGAGGCGACTCTTGATTCTTGACTCAAGTCGGAGTCGGCAGTCAAGCCGAGTCAGCAGTCAAGCCAGGAGGAGGGGTTGTTATTGCGGTTTCTGAGCTCTGTTGTACCACACGTGACACGCATGCTGCCTATATGGGCAGTCTTTTTGTTAATGGGCTCTGCCGGCTCATGGTACCGTATGAAACACGGTCGGTCGGTCGGTCGGTTGGTCGGTCGGTCGGTGGGTTGGTGGGTCGGTCGGTGGGTCGGTGGGTCGGTGGGTCAGTGGGTGGGTCGGTGGGAAGTGGGAGGGTTGGTCCAGCAGCAGGACAAGCATGCATCAGACAGGGTATGTGTAAATGGATTAAAATGCAGCAATAACGAATTCCCATGGGCGTCTGGCCAACCACCCACAATAAGGGCGCATTCCTATGCACCAGGACCAGGATCAGATCTGTGCAGAACCAATTTGAACTGCACTAAAACGTGACTCCAACATTTGCACCGCACAGTACCGTACGAGGCTGAATCTGATCCCAGTTCTTAGGAATACGCCCTGAGGCATGAACTAGTCACCACAACACCAGCAGTCCCAGTGATAAACCCCTGCCCACACAATGGTGTACTTACCCATCCCACCTGCTAACCATACACCCACAATAAAGTACTTTTTTAGGACACACCCTCTCTCTCCCAGCCCACCCCACTTCCCCCCTCTTCCCTCCTCTTCCCTCCCTTCTTGGAGGCTTCCGGAGGATTACATGGGGGATGGCACACATTGTCAACGGCACAAAAAGACAAGACCACTAGAATAGTTGGTGAAGGCCGTGGAGCAGCAGGACTTTCACCGACTAGCCCTGGGCATCTGCGTTTGCAGACCAAAGATGATACGTCGTTCCGGTGAAGATCTGCGGCCAAGGGGACACCACACCAATCAAGTGCAGAAAATGAATGCTGAGACAAGAACCAGCAATAGGCATGCTGAAGATGGGTGTGTGCCTGCATGTTGCACCCGCCCCGCACTGATAAGGGATTGCGCATGTTGTTAGTGTGCCCCTAGTCCATAGTGCGATAGCTAGGAGTCCTGTGGCTCTGAATTTCGAACCGGAATCCTTTCATCTTGCAGCAGCAGCAAATTGTTTCATCTTCCACGCTGCCGCATCTGCATCATCCCATACCATGCCATGCCATGCCATAGAATCCCATGCCATGCTGTCCCCCCAGAAGCTCACCCGCACACCAGCAGCAGGCAGGGCGTCGCTGCACAGCAGCCCGGGGTTGAGGCGGAACAGCTGGAGCATATCGACGCTCCCGTGGGACTTCTCCACCACGCGCCTGCACCCCTCACGGCTGCTCACAACCTCCAGCCTGTCGGCGCTTGGCGTGTAGCCCACAAAGGCAGGGTTGCGCTCCAGGCACAGGGAGTGCGACGAGGGGAGGGGAGTGGAGGAGGAGCAGTCAACGCCCGGGTTGAGTTGCTGGATGGACTCCAGCGTGGTGCCGAGGAATTCGGCCACTGACGCGCACGTGTCCTCCTGTGCGTGTGCGGTTAGCAGGGGATGTTGCAGGGGCGTGGGGGGAATGACGGAGAAGGTGGAAGTTGAGAGGCCGGGAGCTAGTGAGTGAATCGGGGAGGCTTGAAACATTGGTACGAAGAGAGCTCATGCAGGCAGTAATGTCGAGCCCAAATGGGGGCAGTAACATCGAGATGAGAAGGCTGGCCAGCCCAAAGCCATGGAGGAGTGAGTGGGGTTAAAGGCATGGCAGCACTAGGGGCGATGCATTCATGCATGCACGAAGCAAGGAAACAGATCCATTTACCAGCAGGAGAGAGCACGCAACCACGCCGGCTGCCTGGGCCACAATTCTGTGCGATTTGACAGTCAGAGAGGCAGGTAGGGATCCAAATTGCACAGAAACATTAAAGAGGCACGCCTTGGCTGTCGGCACGCCTTTACATTAGAGAGGATAAGAGCAAAGAGAGCGCAAAAGTGTCACCTTGTTCTGTGAAGTGAACTGTTCACGAGTGAGTCCATAGACAGGATAAACGTCCTCACAGCTCCAGTTGTCCCTTTTGACAGCCACGCTAGAAGGACGAGCCCACCAATCTGACCATGTGCCGTGCGCCGGGCAACAGCAGGGGAGTGCAGAGAGGGGGCATGGGGAGAGGGCATGGGGAGAGGGCATGGGGAGAGGGCATGGGGAGAGGGCATGGGGAGAGGGCATGGGGAGAGGGCATGGGGAGAGGGCATGAGGAGAGGGCATGGGGAGAGGGCATGGGGAGAGGGCATGGGGATGGGGACCCAGCAGGGACTGGGTTGCTTGCCCGTAAGGTAAAGCGCCTTGGCAGCTCTCACCCTGCTCACGCACAGTCCAGGCAATATCTAAAACGAGGGGCATATGCAAGGGCAAGGATGAAAAGATGGGCATTCGAAGATGGGGAGCGTTACACGCGGCCACAGGGATCGCCAGAAAGGCCTGTGAAGTGAAAGGTATGCTTGGCAGGGTTGCACTGGGCGCAACTCATGCAATGCCACTGGGCAGCAGCAGCACAGCACAGCACAGCACAGACATCCAGAATCCACCAATCACGTGCCTGAAGTCTTGCCAGCGGAAGCAATGAGGCGGCCGGCAGGTGGGGAGACCGTTGGCGGTGTTGCCTTGGGTGTGCGAGGGAGGGCAGACGCAGGTGTAGGAGCCGAGGCCATCGCTGATGCACGAGCCTAAGGTGCAGGGGTTGTATGTGCAGCTGGTGCACGCATCCTCTGCTGTGGCTGGAGGGAGCACACAGGGGGGACACAGGGGGGAGGGCACATGGGAGGGCACGGGGGAGGGCACGGGGGAGGGCACGGGGAGGACAAGGGGAGGACACGGGGAGAGGACACGGCACACAGAAAGCAGGAGGCTTGGAAGGAGGTGAGTGCGGATTTGCTGGAGCAGGGATGAGGAAACATGAAGTGAAAGATGTATGCGCACAGGAGGAGAGTAACTAGAGAGAACGAGGCAATGAAGCAACCCGTGAGAGCCTGATCACGCTGCAAGGAAGGTCCTTGGCTGAGCATGACGTCACGCGTAATAGCGGTGAGAGAACAAGGGGAGAAGGGTTTGTGGTCCCAGTGATTCGAGTGGGTTAGCGGTCCCAGCGGTTCGAGTGGGGCAGTGGGCATCGCTGCGGACCACTAACAGGGCCCTGCCAGTGCACACGTGAGCATGCAGTGCCAGCGCCAGTGTTAGTGCTAGTGCCAGTTATGAATGCATGGAACTCCCCACGAACTCCCCACTGCCCCATAACCCCCCTCCACTCCACTCCCTGACATGCCTGTCGTAAAGCAAGCACCCAGCCCTCACTGGTCGTCACAACACCGCTAAGCAAGGCACCTCACGCACGTGAGAAGCATCATCAACTCAAGCTTACCCGGGATTTGACACGAGGAGTAGACAGGACGGCCAGGCTGCCCGAAGGGGGGTGCCGGATCGCCAATGATGCAGCGGACGGACCTCACCAGTTTGGCAATCGTCTTAACCCTGTGCATCACAGGAGGGGGAGAGAGATGCAGAAGTCTGAGTGGCCAGCTGAGACAGTCAAAAATTGGCACGGTTATACGGGAGGGGACCACGACAGGACAGGACAGGACTCATTTGCTTCGTCTCACATCTGAAATCTCCCGACAACTCGCAGTTGTGTTGTGTGCCATGCACCAGATTGGCGACCGTCCTCCCTCCCTCTGCAGACAGGTTTCGCGAAGAGCTGAATCTTGTCGCAGAAGAAAGCCCCTCCAGCCATCGTCCACGCCACCTGCACGTTACGTATTCCTCCCACGACGGCTAGTCCTGCCTTGGCTGGACTGGACCAACAACTCACCTCTTGCCCCGCGCCAGGCTGTCAACTGCGCTTCCCGTGCAGCCATGCTTGGCAAAGAACTGACTCTTCCTGCAAGCATCCGTGCCCACCTGCGCCCACGCCACTTGCACATTCTTCCTCCCGCGGCCCGCCCGCCTTGGCTGGAATGTCGACACAGCGGAGCGAGGTGAAGGCAGTGATCTGGCAATTGTTGATCTTCAACCTTGTGCCCAACAGAGCTGCTGGCCGTCCGATGACATACGCCTTGTTTGCTGGTTCGATAACATTAGAGTTAGCCCCATCGGTGCTAGCAGAGTCCCCTCCCAGCGATAACTGCAGCTGACTCGCTGTGAGGGAGACACATGGGAGACACAAAGGAGAGGGTGGGCGCCCAGAGGTGGACACGTGGCAAGCATTCCCAAGGCCTTGTCAGCTGTGGCCGCCCGATTGCATGCCGGCATCTTCGTCTGAGTAGCGGGGCATGCGGGCATGCGGGCATGCGGGCCTGCGGGCCTGCTTTTGAGCCGCCTGATTACATGCTGTCAACTTCGTGTGAGCAGCAGGGCATGAGGGCACGAGGGCACGAGGGCATGCGGGCACGAGAGCGTGAGAGCGTGAGGGTATGGGGGCAAGCGAGCATGTACGAGGCGCACCAGCAAGGAGAAAAGGCGCAATCACGGCCTTGGAGCTCCAACGCCTGATCATGCCGTGCAGCACGCAACAGCTTCTCGGATGCGAGGCAAGAATCCGACAGCTGATGCGACAGCTGATGCGACAGCTTCTGGGACTTGATGTGCAGCTTGAGGAGCCGCAGGGCTCGGATGAGCCGCCGGAGAGAGCAGGTTTGAGCCGCGGGCTTCAGAGGAAGTGAGAGCAGATTTGAGAGCACGGGGTGACAGGACCGTCTCTTTGAGAGACGAGAATAGTGAGCTGCGGGCTTTCTACAGACGGCCCTACTGGGTCAGAGCGAGGCTCGCTGAGAGGCTGGTGGCCCCGCGAGAGGCGGTTCACAAGACGAGACGAGAGATAATGGCATAAGCTGACTGCCAGGTGGAGACGACGGAGAGAACGGCGCTGGTGATGACGACGACGGGCGACCGAGGATACTACTGACGGCATCGTCGCAGCTGTGGTACGTTAAAGAAGCTCGCCACTCCCGCCGCCGCACCACGCCTCGCCACTCCCGCCACCACACCACGCCTCCCCGCGGGACCCTCCGACGAGTCAAGCACACGGGCGCGCGGCCTTGGGTCACCGCCGCGAAAGCCAGCCGTCGCGAGGAACGCGTTTCGCAACGGACGCGCTCGTGGTCGAAAGGCCACATCAGCTTTGTGAGTTTCCTAGGATCCTACGCGTTTCGAACTTCAGGGAACGAGGTTTGGAGGCGGATAGGCGTAGTCAAGGGAAGTTGACTACCTCTCAGCTCAACAGAACATCCAGCCTTGGCCTTCAAATATTTAGAGTGAGTTCGCTACCCTTTGTTTCGTTACTCCTTACAGTTACTAAAACAGACTGGGAGTTCAAACTCCTCAGCATAGGAACCCTGGACATAATGTACCATTTGGTGGTGAGGAGATCATTGACCAATTGCTGGTATATCCACCTTCAAATACTGTCACAATCGGCAGACGGTCCACGACCTGTAACTTTTCTTTACATGTATCATATATTGACCATTCGAGCACTAGAAAGTATTATAAATACAGGTAAACACTTCAGGACATTCGTAGGGTATAAGATTACCATTTCAGCTTACTTCCCATGGATCCTTCATCCCTCATTCCCTGCCATCTCCAACCCAACAAGATTTGCTGCACCCTTCCTCAAAGGACCCCTCGAGAGCCGAATACGTACTGTTGCGGTATATGCACATATATAAGTACCTGCCAGACTCACCCGCTACACTCTGCTCTGCTCCCCTCCGACCAAGCCCTCTTCCCTTAAGATCTGCCGAATCCTGCTGCGTACTCCCCCACACTCCCACTCACAGCGACACTCCCACCCACACTCAACTTCGCACTCACCCCTCCGCCCTCCCCTTCGCTGTGAGTCGCTTTCGACGCAAACGACTCCGCGCGAGCCATCTCTTCCAAAAAGTTCCCCCCTCGCATCTCCGCCACCTCCCTATCCACCCTCTCCAGCACTGCGTTCCTCGCCAGCCCAAAGAACTCCTCTTTCATTTCTGTTAGCTCCAGAAGGAGTCTATTCACGGATGGCCGGGCAGAGGATGGGAGGGCGGTGCAGGAGAGAGCGAGGGTCGCGAGGCGGAGGAGGAGGGCGGGATTGGCCGGGGAGGAGGGGGATAAGAGATGGGGATCGGTGAAGGCTGCAGGGTTCTTGGTGGGGAGCAGGGAAGTCACCCAGTGGATAAGGCTGGTTCTTTGGTCCGCGTGTTTGTCCTTGTGTTTGTGCATGCCTGTGGTGCCATCCCCGTCGCTGTCTCCTGGTCGATGAGTACTAGTAGTGCCGGCGGCCTTGCGTGCTGTGAGCAGCATGAGAGCCAGCACGCCGAAGCTGTACACATCGACCGCAGGCATCAGCCTGTGAGTCTGAAGGAACTCGGGATCCACGTAGCCCGACCAGCTCACACCTGCACTCTCCACACCACCAACACCACCACCACCAATGCTGCTGCTGCTCCCTCCACTAATGTTGCTTCTATGCCATTCTCCACCGTCTCTACCATCGACGCCTCCTTCCCTTGCATTCCCAAGCACCCCCGAGTCCCTTTTTCGCCCTTCTTCCCCACCCTCTCTTCTTCCTTCTTCGTCCTTGCCCCTTCCTAGAGCCTCTTGACCCCCCTTACCACCCCTGCCCATCTCGGCCTGTGTGTGTGCAGCAGGCAGCCCGAAGTCAGACACGCGGGCGTGCATGTTGCCGTCGAGCAGCACGTTGCCCGGGTGGATGCGAGCATGCACGAGGGAGAACGCGTGCAGGTACTGCAGCGCCTGCGCCACGCCAATCAGCACGTCCAGACGCTGCTGCAGGGTCAGCTGCATTTGTGCACCTGGGGCATGTTGCGGCACGGCACATGGGGGGGAATACTTTTGAGGCGCCTCAAAGCTGCTGCAGGGTGAGTTGCACTGCCGCACCTGGGGCATGGTGTGGCAGGGCACGTGGGGGGAAATGAGGGAGCACGTGGAAATGGGTGGAAAGTGAGTGTGGTCGAGCATGAGGGCGGTATAGCATGAGTGCGAGCGAAAGGAACGCGTGTAGATGCTGCACCGCTTGCACCACGCTGATCAGCACGTCCAGGCGCTGCTGCAGGGTCAGCTGCACTGGCGCTGCCGCCTAGGTGCAGGCGTGGCCGGGGGGGGCATGAGTCGGCATGGGGGGGCATGCACATACATCTCGCCATGCGTACACATGCACGTGCACATCCAACTCTCCTTGTGGATACACATAGGCATATCCATACACAGTCACAGCCATGCATGCCTATACAACACGCATAACCATACCCATACCCATATCCATACCCATACCCACACCCACACCTACACCCACACTCACACCCACAACCACACCCACGCCCACGCCCACGCCTGTACCGACATCCATACCCGTGCGACTCACGTGGGCCTATCCAGAGGGTGAGGTCGCCGTGCGCCATGAGCTCGTACACCAGGATGTGCTCCTGGGTGTGAGTAGCGGGGTTCACGTCCGAACAGAACCCCACCAGCCGCACCAGCTGCAGGTGGTGTTTCGTGCCGATCTGCTTCACCTGCCAGCCATGCGGGAGAGGGGGGGGGTGGTGGGGAGTCTATCTTTGAGGCGCCTAAAAACAGGTGGTGCTTCGTGCCGATCTGCTTCACCTGCCAGCTATGGGCGTCCAAGGAAACGGTGCGGGAGAGGGGGGGGATGGTGAGGGACGCATGGTGAGACGAGGCGTGAATCCAGATGCACGGGTGTGCACGGGGAGGGGCGGTGAGGGGAGGGTGGTGAGGGACAGGTGGTGGGGAGAGAGTGATATGGGGGTGTGGCGATTGCAACACGGCAGCTAGTGTTGAGGAGGCGGAGGGGGTGGGAAGAGTTGGGGCTGCAGTGGGCTGGGGGGGGGAGAGGGGGGGTGGTGGCAAAATGCTCATGGTGCAACAAATGGCGCTGAATAATGAGGGTGACTTTTGAGTGGACTAAAATATCACCTTGGGGCTGCGGTGGGCTGGGAGAACAAAATGCTCATGGTGCAAATGGGGCTGTATGGGGAAGGTGAGAGTGAGGAGGAGGATTGAAGGAGGAGGAGGATGGATGGTGGAGTGAGGAGTCTACACACGAGCGAAAACATGTGCACAGCACACCACACCACAGCACAGCACAGCACAGCGCAGCGCAGAGAAGCACGCCACGCCACGCCATGCCATAAGGCTTGCCCACCCATGCGAACGCACCGCTTTCTGGAACTCCTCTGACCGCCACTCCGCCCCTCGCGCGCGCTTCACAGCCCACACCGCGCCCCCCTCGCCCCCAGGCGTCCCCGTGTACACGTCCCCGCACCTCCCCGCCCCTATTCTCCTCTCCGCTGCCCACCCGCCCGTGGCCTGCTCAAGCTCGTCTAGGGAGAAGGGGCGGCACGCGTGTGGACGGGACGGCGTGCCCCCCCCAACCGCAGCAGTCGAGTTGACCGATGAGGCCGAGAGAGAGGAGGCTGGTCGGGCGGGTGAGGGGAGGAGGGAGGAGGGGAGGAGGGCAGAGGGAGATGGGGTGAGAGGAGAGGAGGAGAGGCAACAGAGGCGGAGTGGGGGAGGAGGCGAGACGAAAATGGAGACTGAGGCAGAGTGACACGTGCATGCGACAGGGCAGGGAAGGGAGTGTGGAGAAGAGAGCAGGTGTGGGTTTGGCCGTGCAGGAGCGAGCTTGCCCAGGGGGAAGTGGCGGCCGGCATGCTTGCAGGCGCGATGGGGTGGCTGCTGTCAGAGCCGAGAGAGAAGGATGTGGGGGGTGACCGTGAGACGGAGTGAGGGAATGCGGGTGTTGGAGGGGAGGGATGACGAGACGGGAGAAGTGGCGGCATGTGTGCCGGAGGCAGGATGGGGGTGGTGCAGGGAGGAATGAGAAATGAGAAATGAGAAATGAGACGTGAGTGATAGGGGCAGAGGGGGTGGACGCTACTGCTGCTTGTTGAAGGAGGGATTGAAAGAATGCATGTGTCTTTAATGCGCCTAAAAAAAGGGGAGTGAGAGAATTGGGGCAGAGCAGAACAGAGGAGCCAGGGAGTGGGGGTCGCACAGCAGCAGTGGGAAATGGCGTTAGAAAGGGGGGGTCAAGGAGATGGAGAGTGGGTGGCGGGAGCACAGCAGCAAGGCACGGTCTAGCTGGTTCCAACTGAGGTGCTCTGTTGACTTATTTGACTGCGCAAACCCGCTTGACTAACTTGACTTAATCGGCCACATGCGTGTGTCGCTGCTGCTCCCACTGCTCCCACTGCTGCTGCTCCTTCTGCTGCTGCCGTTGCTGCTGCCGTTGCTGCTGCTGTCACTGCTCACCTGACAAGGGTGTAAGGCTCCTCTGTTGCCCGGTGTCCACCTGAGTCAGCTGCTTGCTCGACGCCTTGCGAGTGCTCCCTTTGCTCCGCTTCGCTCCCTTCGCTCCCTTGAATTGCTTGCCCAGCGCTGACCCCATCACCGCCACGGCTACAGCCGAACCTTGGTAGAGGCTACAGGCACAGAAGCCGCTACAGCAGCCACAGACGCCGTTACAGCAGCCACGGACGCCACTACAGCCTGATTCAGATGAAGAAACGCCAACTGAATCAGTGGCGAGGGGGTGTGGAGACTGAGAGCGATGGCGGGTGGTGGGAAGCCCTGGTGTGGGAAAGGGAGGGGGGAGGGGACGCAGGAGGGCGGGATGTGAGAGGGAGAGGGAGAGGGAGAGGGAGAGGGAGAGGAAGAGGAAGAGGAAGAGGAAGGATGACTGCAGCAATGAGTGTGTCGTGCAAGCTGAGGTCTGAGGATTGAGACGCTGCAGAACTGGGAGGGTGGTTTGTGTGACTAATAAATAAAGAGTGCATGCAGAGATGACTGATAGTTGCAGTGTTACACAGCAGCGTGGATAGCGACAACAGCAATTCGCACAAGCCCGGGGGGGGGTGGGGGGGGGGAGGAGGAGGGAGGAGAGTTCTTTTTAGAATTCTCAGAGCACAAGCACGAGCGGGAGGGTGGAACTCCCTAGGAGTGGGAGGAGGTGCTAAAATCCAAACTAGTGCTCGCCGCGCGCGAGGTGACTTACTATGAGTCGAATCAAAAGTCACGTCGCTTTAACGTCATTCCTAGGGCTCGCGCGCGCGGCGCCTACTAGAGCAATTCATCCTCCCAAACACAGTTTCGTCTCGTGACGACTCTAGACTGAGCGACAAAGCGCAGCGCATAGCACAGAACGCAGAGAACAGAGCGCAGGGCGCAGAGCACAGAGCACAGAAATCAGAGCACATAACGCAGAGCGCAGACAGAGGTAAGCGCATCCGTTACGTTATTTCTGGTGCCTGTGAGGTCGCGTGAACGAGTAGTTTCTATTTGCTACGACAGCATTGCGCAGCCAGCCGTGGAGGTGCTGATCTTCCCGTGTCGTACAAGTCAAGGCGCCTTCGGTTCGTTTAATTTCGTCTGTTTCGTCGTTCTCGTCAGCTCAGCATCCCCCAGAACACGGTAAAGTAATCGGCTGCGTTCTGCAGGCAGAAAAGGAAAGTGCAGATTACATCAGAGCACCTTCCGAAAGCCTGATTTTTTGCTTCGGATCGAGGGTCAGCCCGCAAAATTTCGTCCAAACCTGGCACAAGGTACCCAAACCTAGTCACATCAAAATGCCTGCAGAACAGGTCCATGTACAGATGACATCTACGTCAGGGAAACACCCCCCTCGCTTCCCTCCCTGGCAAATTTGACGCAAAGGTGACGCAATGCTGACGTTCGCTAAATCGAGGAGTTCACCTTGCGTGTGGCGTTACAGCAGCCTCAATTTGGCTCCTCTCTCCTTTCGCTCGCGCTTTCCACAGTTTGGCGCGTTGCTTCCAAGCGAGGTTTGGAAAGTGCACCTGGTTTGAGTGGTAACCAGTGCTCTCGAAGTCGCTTGAGGAGCTTCCTCAATGTCGACGTCGACGTCGACGTCAAATGCCTGTAGAACACAGCCTTCATCTCCCCAGACGCGTTTGGGAAAATTCGCTCGGAATCCACCGTTTCTTTCCACCACCTCCTGTGTAATTTTCACTACACTAGGGATATCGCACAACTTCTCATCCAACATGGCAATTGTGGCCACTATCTTGATACGAGTGATCAACTCGAAATATTTCAGCAAGATAGCATTCGCACTGAACTCTTCCCATGATAGTTACAGCTGTCACGATTTTAGTGGGGAATGTACCATACTACAGTACAGACTGAATCAGCCCCAAAACCTAAGCTGTGAACCAGAAGAGCAGGATGAGCAGTAGATAGAAAGATTTAACGTGATGCAATAAGATCTCACATGACAGCAGCAGAGGGACGAGCTAACGATGGGAGGAGGCAGGGAAGAGGTGCCGGAGGAAGGGGGGGAGGTGATGTGAACTATGTGGAGAGCAGCCGATGCATGGTGGAGGCATGGAGGCATGGAGGCATGGAGGCAAGGATGGAGCATGGATGGCTGAACAGAAGGGTGCATGAATATTTTACGCACATAGAAAATGCAGGTGGACATAATCTATGGCCGTCTCACAGCACATAGTGCACATCACACAGGCTACACTACACTCTCTCCCGCCTTTTCCCCCTCCCTCCCCCGTTAAACAATGCACCCAATGTAGCCGAGAAAACATTGTGTCCTCGCGGAACCGTCAACCAGGGCTAGACCAGAGTCACCTAGCTTTGCCTCCCACAGGGGCAGCGCAATGGTAAGAGACGAGGAGTGGAGAGGAGGGGAGACGAGACAAGACAAGAATCTTAGGAGGCAATAAATAGACCGACTAGACTTGACTTATTGACCAGCCAGGCACGAGGCCAAGCCCAACCCTTCTAGACTAGAGGCGAAGAGCCGCCGCAGCTAAGCGCGATGCTCTCGTCACAGGAAGGCGTATTGATCCTCCCACCAGGACATAGACACACTGCTACAGAGCACGGTATACGGTACATGACACATGGTGCATGGAGCATGGAGCATGCATGGTACATGGTGCATCTTAGGATTGGTAGGATGGATGGAGATGCACCGTAAGAGAGGGATGGAAGATAGATGGAATGGAGCGGATGGGGATGGAGAGGACATGACTGGAGGATGAGTGAGGAAGGGGTTAAATGGGTCCCAGGTCCCTTGATATAGTCTGCTTCAATCGGCTTCAATCCGCTTTGCTCTGCTACGAATGGCTTCTATCTGCTTCAATTTGCTGCTTCCACCTGCATTAACCTGCTTCAGTGCAACCCCACTCTACAAACCCCAGGCCACTGCCCTTCCTACCCTCCACTCTTGCATGCCTCTATCTGAGCATTGGCCTTCCTACTGCCTCCTCCACAAACCCTCGCCGTCCCCTCCTCCTCTCCACCCCTCCTCCGCCCCTCCCCTTCCCTCCCCCCGACACCGCACCCCCTGTCTCCGCTGCTACCACACTCCCGCCACTTACTCCCCTCCTTACCCCTCTCTACTTGCGCTTGGACTTGTAGATCCCTACAAGCACACAAAAGTAAGCAAACCGCACCGCGAGCGCCATGCTGAAGAGCACGGCGAGGCACTGCCACTTGGTGAGCTGCGAGATATCCAGCAGATCACGGTAGATGCGCTCGCGGTACAGCAGGCAGCTGTCCTCCGTGATGTGCACGCCCGGCATGAGGATGCCCGGCAGGAACACGTCCAGGGCCGCCTCTGCACGGGTCACGTTCACATACGACCGGATCGCCGCCACGGACTCGATCTGGTTGAGCGAGAAGTAGCACGCTGCGTCATCCCTGGAGAGGTGCAGAGCGGTGGGGTCGGGTGGGGAGGGGTGTAAGTGGGGGCGGGGGGGGGGGGATGAGGTGCCTGAGAAACACTCCTCCATCCATCTAGTTCAGCAAGAAGTAGAACGTCGCTCGTCCCTGGACAGATGCAGCCGCCCGCCACAGGGTATTGAGGAGGGGGGTGGGGCGGCTAGAGAAAGGCAGGCAGGGTGAAAAGAGCCGTGTAGAGAATAATCAAAGGGAGTTGCCAGCAACTAAGGGATAAAAAAGGAGACAAAGAGCACAGACAAAAGAAACACCACGGGCTGCATGTGTGCGTGCGTGCATACCGGTCGAACTCGTTGAGGACCATGGCCTCGTAGGCATATTTGATGGGCGAGAGGTAGTGCAGCCAGATCCAGAAGGGCGGGATGGCAGTGCGCGGGATGTAGAACCCGCTGATGATGGTGCAATACGCCATGGTGCTGATCACCATCGCGTACGCCAGGATAATACTGCCACGCGGAGGTTGAGGGAGGGAAGAGAGGGGTGGGAGGGGAGGGCAGGGGGGGAGAGCAGCAGGGAGGGAAGAGGCAGTGGGTGGCATTGGACCGACGGTACCTGAGGGAGCGTGCTGCTACCGCAGGGAAAGAAAAACCCACAAGAAAAAACGCGAGAGAGAACGAGCTCCCAACTGATGGGCCCCCAGGCTTCGCAAAAGAGCCGATACTCAGGCCTCAGTTACCTACTTGCCCCCTTACACGCCTGTCGCCTACACGCTCTCCAGGCGCTTCCCATCAAATCCCATCCCCCATGGCTCCCAAGTCCCAACCACCAGGTCCTCCTCCACCCAACCCAAGCACTGACCTGCTGAAGAAGGCGCTGCAGAAGGTGGCAATGGCGTTGCCAGTGAAGAGGCAGCCGAAGCATAGCAGCGCCATGAAGAAGAAGCCGCTCGCACCGCCCGACAGCCTCACGCACCACCAAGACTCAAGCGTGACGACCACCGCCATCAGCATCTGCAGCGGCATGTACACCAGCGCGTGCGCCACCACATACGTCGATGTGCGGTACGTGTTGTGCGAGGTTTCGCGGATAAATATGTGCCGGTCCTGAGGGAAAGGAGGAAGGGGGGAGGGGGGGAGGAGGAGGGGGTAGGGGGGTGGGGGAGGGGGGGGGAAAGGGGAAAGGGGAGAGGCGCAAGGAATGTGTTTTATAATCGACTCAAAGACAGTATGCCCCCGTGTGGTGCGTGTTCTAGGAGGTTTCAGTGATGCAGGATGCGCTGGCCCTGGGGGAAGGGGGAGAGAGGAGCGCGGGACGTGGGGGGTGCAGGGCAGGGGGGGGAGGTGGGGAGGTGGGGGGGAGAGGGAGATGGGGCGGGGAAACAGGGGCACGCTACCAAAGGAATGGAAAGGTGGAGGGAAGTGGGAGATTAAACCCACAAACACAGATGTGCATGCGGAGATGGGCATGCGGAGATGGGCATGTGGAAAAGTGCATATCGAGGAGGTCTGCACGTGGGCGAGCACACAGCGCGCGCACCTCAATGAAGATGGGGGTAGCATCAGCGGAGCAGAAGAACATAACGGCCACAATGAACGACAGGTACGCCAGGCGCTCCCAGAGCCCCTTAGGCCTGATAGGGGGGCGGGTTTGGTTGGGGGAAGGGCGGGGGAAAGGGAGAGAGGAGTAAATTGAGGGAAGTGGATACTGATGGAGTGAAGCTGGGAAGTACGAAGAGGGGAGACGGGGGAAGAGGGGTGGGGTGCGGGGTGGTGGGGGGGAGGGGGAGGGGAGGCGTCGTGAAAGAGAGACTTCAAGGGAACGAAATTCGAACCGGAAATAAACAAAAAACACAAATAAAGATGATGGGAAAGAGGGACATGCGAAACAACAAAACAAGGAGGTTACTCCTGGCAAATCACGAAAACAAAAATCAACCAACCAATGCTGGCACGACCCCATCAGGTCTCGTAACTGATTTCGTCAGTTTTTCGCTTACGTGTGCGGCGGTTGCCAGAAGAGCGACGACACCAGCAGCCCCGCGACGGTGAGCAGCCCCAGGCGCAGCCCGTACAGCGCGGGGTTGCGCATGATGATCAGCGCCGCGCGGCGCAGCAAAATCCACAGCTCGCGCGGCCAGCTGTTCGCGTACCGCCGCGTGCCCTTGTAATTGCTCTCTACCACGCACTGCTGCTGCCGCTTCTTTCTTAGTAGCTCCTCCTGCCTCTGCCCACTCTGTTTCGTGTGGAACACCGACGCCCAGCGAGACGGCGGCGCGGAGACGACCGTCGACGCCGACGACGACCCGCGCGCGGGATCCGCGCTTGCCGCTCCCGCAGTGCGCGCACCAGCCCCATCCGCCGATGCCCCATCCCCATCCCCATCCCCATCGCCATCGCCATCGCCGGCGCCGGCGCCATCGCTCTCGATCACCAGGACTTCCTCCGGGATTGCCGGTGGAGGGGCCCGCTGCTGCACCAGGCGGCTCGTGGCCGTGTCCGCGGTGGCGGCTGGGAGCAACGCGGACGAGCTGTCGTTACTTCCGCTGCTCTCGCGGGTTTCGCTACTGTCGCGAGCGTCGCCGTTGGTCATCTTGCCCCCGTTGATCGAGCCCTCGCACATGCGTTCCACGCCGTCAGAAGCGGTAGGGTTGGACTCAGCGCCTATCGCGTCTTCTTGAACGTCAGCAGCGCCTGCGATAGCGAGGGAAGCTGCAGATTTCCCGCCATTCGCGGCGGATTTCCCGCCGTTGTTATCGGAGCACTTCCCGCGCAGCCACTCCTGCGCGAACGCGTGCAGATCGTCCAAACCCGTCGGCGTCGCGCCAAGCCGGTCCAGCAGCTCGAGCGCGTACTCCGTCGGATTCGCGAATTGCGGCACGGGCTGGCCGAACTCCGCAAAGAACGCGGGCATGCCGCGCGGCGCGCCGAAGAAGACCGCGTTGCCCGCGGAGAGCAGCAGGATGCGGTCGACGAGCTCGAGGATGCGGAACGACGGCTGGTGCAGCACCATGACGACGATGCTGTGCGACTGCACGGCGATGTCGTGCAAGATGTTGACAACGCGGCACGCGTTTGTGGAGTCGAGGCCGGACGTCGGCTCGTCCAGGAAGAGGATCTTGGGGTCGTGCACGATGTGCGCGCCGATCGCCACGCGCTTGCGTTCGCCACCCGACACGCCTCTGGAAGGGGGAAAGGGGAGGAACGGGGGAAGCAGGTGGGGGGGAAGAGGGGGGGGGGAGAGGGGGGAAGAGAGGAGAGCAAGAAAGACGCAAGGAGTGGGGCGAATAAGCCAGGTGAGAGGAAAATACTAAAAAGCGAGGGGACAGGAAAGAGGGAGGGGAGGGGAGGGGAGAGTTGGAATAGAACCGGAACTACGGTCTAAGGGGAGGGGTTGAGAGGCTTGCACAAAGGTCAGAGAAGCAGGAAGCTGATGGCAGTTCACGAAACGAAACAAGACCATAGAGAGAGAGAGATGCAGGGAGGTGTGCAAGAGGAGGTATCTGAAAAAAGCGGTCGCACGCACTCTGTGTCATCACGCAATCTGCGTGCCAAGGTCGCACTTTAAGGCCATGCGTATGCGCACGGGCGCGCAGTTTCACGCACCCTTTTCCGCATCTTCTTGACAAAAAGGGGGGCCTTGAGCTCTTTTCTCACTAAAGAGGAAGAAAAAGGACCAACAACAAGAAAGGCACATAACTTGCAGTCGCAGCGCACGATCTCGCTTGCATCCGCCATGAATCACGATGCCCAACCTGCCTGCATGCCCTTTCAACCCGCCATAACCAGCCCCGTCTCACCACACCGCATCCACACCAGATTGCACCGCACCCCACCGAACCCCAGCGCGTCGCACACTACCTTCTATTCTCGTCGCCGATGATGGTGTTGGCGACGTGCGACAGCCCCAGAATTTCCAGCAGTCGCTCCACGCGCGCTGCTTTCTCCCGGTGCGAGAACAGCCGACTCGGCAGGTTCATCTCGGCCGAGAACATCAGCGTCTCGCGCGCCGTCAGCGTCGGGTGCATCAGGTCATCCTGCATAACGTACGCCGACACGCGCCGCATCATATTACTCGTCATCGGCACGCCGTCCAGCTCGATGTGCCCGGTCCGCCCGCCTCCTGCGGCGGCGGCGGCGGCAGCGTTAGGAGTCGCCTGCTTGAGCTGTTGCGCGCCACTGGGGGCGGCGGCGGCGGCGATGCGGTGCGCGAGCACATCGAGGAGCGTCGTCTTTCCCGAGCCCGACGGCCCGACGATTGCGGTCACCTCGTTGGAGCGTGCGAAACCCGAGATGTCGTTGAGAATGCGGCGATACGACTCCGACGCCTTTCCGTCGCCCGCGGCTTCGACGCGCGCGCCGGAAGCGGCGGAGGGAGTCGGTAAAGACGCGAACTTGGAGGAGTGAGGCTCGGCGCTGGAGCGAGAGCGGCGCGAGAGTAGGCCGTGGCGGCTGCGGCGAACAGTGTACGCGATATGGTGAAAGGAAAGAACATTTTGAGAGTAGTTTGCGAGAGACAAGGGCTTCAAAGGGTCAGTGGCTGACGGCCCGATGACATTAACAACCGTGTGAGGACTCGGGGAGTCCTTAGAAGGCATGGGCGGGGAAGAGAAGGGTGTGTTGAGCGCAGAGGAGGAGGAGGAGGAGTTAGTTAAGAAGCTGGGTGGGCTGAAGCGGAGCGCCTGTTCGTCGGGTGCTAAGACGCTGGAATGCACGGAGGACGGAGACTGGTCTGCTTCGACACTTTCGGAGCCTGTTCTCATGGCTTGATTGCAAAGACACGGGTGAAAGGGGTGCCAAGATCCAGGCAAACTGGATGAGGGAACCGGGTTCCGAGCCCTAAGAACCAGCGGGAATCGCGTCGCGTAGTCTGAGATAACCTAGTACTAAGGATGAGCTGAACAAGGGAGGAGCTAGGGACAGGAAGTTTTGCAGGTGTGAAGGGCAAGAAGAGTGTGGGGACGCACTCCCCAGTTCGGAAATGTGGTAACCTACAGCGGAGCTCTGGATATTGATGCCAAGATAGCTGATAGTTGAAATGTGGCAGAGCTGGTGATTATACAACGATGGGTGCTGGTGGGTGTTTTAGCAGAGAAAGTGAGCAGCCTAAGAGCATTTTGCAAGACTGGTTGGGAGAAAAAGCAAATGTGAATCTCCAGTACACTTTTCGTTCTATTGAATTTTGAATTGTTTGCACGCGAATTGAGCCTGTAAAGAGGAAAAGGTCAAACCCGGGGAAGCGGGACATTGAAGGGGAAAACCCACAGGAAAGACTGTCACTTGGTTACAAATTCTCGCTCATGCACTAGATCAGTTGCCTGCGCGACCTCCCAGCTTGGATTCTTCCAATTGTCGAAATACGACTTGACTGTTCACTATCGTTCACATTGCAGCCAGTCAGGTTCAGTGTCAACAAGAGTCATGCTGAGAACCTGGTACAGTAGGTGGAATAAAAGTTTGACTGTTTCAGGTATGACAAAAAAAGGGAGCAGGTGTACTGGCGACAAGTGAGAGCCAGCCAGAGATGAAATTGTTGTTGCTAGGGTGGAAGGGCGAGAGGGAGAGGCGGAGAGGTGGCGGAAAGCAACCGCATGGCGGGTGGCAGCGCAGGGTTTTGGTCTTGCATCAGAAACAGGAGGGGTTGGTTGGCTGGCGAGGAAAACTGGGCTGGAAGGCAAATGTGGGTCCGTCTCGTCTGTTGGCGTAGGGCAAGCAGGCAACAGAAGCGGCGGGCAGGGGGAGGCTGGGAGGAAGGGGGGCGGTAGCGTTGGACTCGGAAAGAAGCGCCTTGCCATGCCCTTGATTCCAGTTGAGGTTGGGGGGACGAGGTGTGGAGAAGGGGAGGGGAGGGGAGGCGAGAGGAGAGTATGGGAGGGGGAGGGAAGGTGGGGAGCGCGAGTAGAATTAGCGCACAATTCCTCATGCCGTCGCGATGTGAAGCGGTCCGTGCGACGCGATACGATTCGCAAGCATTGCCGGGGGGCTGTGTCTCATTTGGCGGCGGCGAGGGGTGGCGGACGTAGCGAACCTCTGCTTTCCCCGACCTAAACCGGACCTGACCTGTTCAATCCGAACCTGTTTGTTCCGTCGTACAGCGTCGTACGAGGAGTCGTCAGGTATCGCAGCCATCCATAACCATATTTCCCCGCGCCAAGCGGCTTTGCAATCTAGGGCACCAAGCTCAGAGCCAGCCAAAACGCAACTGGAGTGGGCGCTATGTGCACGAGCGATTGGCTTGCAATGGTGCAGCGTCGCCCACATGTATACGTGTACAGACCATGGCGTGTAAAGAGATTTTCGGTGGCGCCCCCTTGGGTGTAGTGAAATGTCGGCCCCGGCTGGCTGGAGACATACCAGGCCTGACTCCAAACCGCAGCAACCATAACAGGGTATTTCACCCTGATATACAATCACACACTGCACTTGTGCGAATTTTTGCCCCGCGTATTGCTAGTTAGGGAGGAAGATCTGGCATAGACACATCGTGTCGAGTTTCACATATGCCACAATGGTTAGGAGGGTTCCTGCAAGTATGCTACCAATGCTTTCCGTTTGAGTGGATCATTTCTGCAAGTAGGGTACCTGCGAGTTTGGGATTACAGCCCTACCATACACAAAAAACAAACAAACAAAAAAAACCTTGGCTGGTAGGGCTGTAACCCCAAACTCGCACGCCTCGGCGGTTCCGCCACGCACAGCTGCCGAACCTTCTACATGAGTACTGTGGAGAGCGGCTGCATGAGCAAAACCTCTGGAACTGACAAACCGACTGTTCCATACTGAAGCCTCGTTGTCGCAAAGCCAGAGTGTCGTCGTCGCCTCACCTGGTTCGCGGTTTCCATCGCACACGAGTCAAGAAAGTACCACTGCTACTTGCGCAGCGTGGGTGCCAATCAGAAGGAGCAAGCCCAGGTCCTGCTCGAATCAAGCTTCAACACGACTTCATCAGCCGCGCTGGCATGACCAGAACCATTTCAAATTGCTGCCACGTAGCATTCCGATGTTCTCCGAGTGCAACATTGCGTCTGTTGCCATGATGTTCAGGGGAAGTGACTTTCCAGCTAGTGTGGTGCCATTCTCAAGAACTGCTTTTTACTGAAGGCATTTGTGTTTCTACCCTGTATCGGGATATTTGAAATATGTTTGACAAACGCCGCAGAGCCATCCATTCGGAAAAACTTCGTTCTCAAATCTATACGACCGCTTTACTAAGGAACCGAGAGGAGCACCGTATACAACTTAGAAGAATTCGTGGCATCAGGGCAAATAGCGACTTTGTCCTTCGCGTACAGTAGATTGGTGTGTGGGAGCGTACAGTACAGGGGCTCTGCAGTGCACCTTCCCAGTCTGTGGTCATGTATGCGTTGGATTCTATTGGTCCTTCAGCAGTGGCGTACTACGGCGTTATGTAAGGGGGCCATCATAGCCTCCCACCAGGCCTCTCCATAAGCCCCAGGGTTTCCGGAAGGGGACGGAATCACTTTTGGAAAACCCCTTAACCGACGGAATCCCCCCCAAAAAAACCCGTTACCGAAAGGACTCGGTCGCTACAAATTCGTCTAGCAAGGACTCAAGGGCAGGAGGGCGGGGGAGGGGTTGTAAGGCGGCGAAGAGAGGGGGGGAGGGGGGGGGGGGAAGTTGGGATCACAACCCCCTACAAAATGCCACACATCAAGTATAGCCCGCACGGATTCAGAAATAGGTACTCGTTAGGCTAGGGAATCGCGCGAAATCGTTTCTAGAAGCTGGACGGATTAAGAAAACAATCGCACGGAAAACTGGTTATCACCAATATCCGCAGCCATACGACATTACCGCTAGCACATTTAGAGTAGCACCAGCATGTTTCCCTTAATCTAAAGGGCTGCCAAAATCCAGACACTATTTTCAGGACTGACTGGGAAATGCTCTATATTCGACTCAAATTTCAGATAGTTACCCTTGAAATATTAGCCCTTATCCAGAACTTTCGGAAGAAGAAAGAAGGTGCGAATTTGCTGCTAAGATCGCCTTCAGAAGATTGGACGACAACCGAAGTTTGGACAAGAAAGTTGGTTTCTCAATCTGTACACCTATTTCCCCTGAAAACAACAGACCCCAAGTTTGTTTTCCCAGTTCACAAATCTGACAAGACTCAGGTCTCCAACCAAAACGTACACGGTAACAGTGTGTTTCAGCGAGAAATAGGCCGAGTAGTCGAGTCTCTCTAGATTGCTTCGAACTGAGGACTGTACAATTATGCAACCTATAATAACACGAGTACACCATATATTTAGACTATCATCCTGAGAAAAAACGAAAAGTTCCCCTCTTGTTCAAACCTCGGTTGTCCTCCAAACTTCTCAAGGCGACCTAACTCCGTATTGTCAACTCCTCCATCGTGAGCAGTTATTGTCAGTAATTATCATTATATCCTGTTCAAAATTAACATATGCAAGCATCTTTCAATTCCCCCATAAACATTAATTCTCTATTCCTGTCAAGCGTGCTTTTTTCCCACTTCTCTCAAGGTGCTTTCTGGATCCCGTGTTTGATTGATACTCTTGAAGTCCAGATAAATGTAACATGTTCAATAAAATATTGCCTTGTGCATTCATAAAAGTAACAACCAGCATGTAGCACCCTTCAGCGTGTCATAACCCTTACCGGATACGCGCCTGTATCGAGTTGCGAAGGGCAACGATCGTTGACCGTTGATAAAAAAACTCAGTTATCTGAAGCCAAAGAGTTCGAGAGGACGGGAAACCTACCCGGGTCGTGTGCGCTTACGCGAGTCGGATTTGTCAACTTATACATACTAGCTGAGTACAAGTTATAGGCTAGACTGAGGTATGCTTCTAGTGAGTACAACCAACTAGTATTTGTTCTAGGTTTCTACTTCTAGTTGATTATTCAGTACTTACTTTGACATGGTATCACGCGTAGGTTAGAATCCCCCACCTACCGCTTCCGCCCGTACCCTAGCTAGGCCCCGCCGCATCCCCCTGCGCCCCATTGCGCCTCCTAGCCCCGTCGCGCCTCCTAGCCCCGTCGCGCCTCCTAGCCCCGTTGCGCTCCCCCCGGGCCCAGCAGTGCCTCCTAGCCCCGTCGCGCCCCTCCTGGGCCCCGTCGTGCCCCTCCTGAGCCCCGTCGCAACCTCCTAGCCCCGTCGCGCCCCTCCTGGGCCCCGTCTCGCCTCCTAGCCCCGTCGCGCCCCTCCTGGGCCCCGTCGCGCCTCCTCGCCCCGTCACGCCCCTCCTGGGCCCCGTCGCGCCCGCTAGGCCCCGTCGCGCCCTGCCTGGCCCCGTCGCGCCCGCCTGGCCTCGTCGCGCCTGATAGGCCCCGCCGCACCTCCCTGGCCCCGCCGCGCCTGTCTGGCCCCGCCGCGCCTGCCAGGCCCCGCCGCGCCTGCCTAGCCCCACCGCACCTGCCTGGCCCCGCCGCACCTGCCTGGCCCCTCCGCGCCTGACTGGCCCTGCCGCGCCAGCCTGGCCCTGCCGCGCCTGCCTGGCCCCGCCGCGCCTACCTGGCCCTGCCGTGCCTGCCTGGCCCCGCCACGCCTGCCTGGCCCCGCCGCGCCTCCCTGGCCATGCCGCGCTTGCCTGGCCCCGCCGCGTCTGCCTAGCCTCTCCCACTGCTCGCCCGGCCAAAATTCGTGCCTGCCCGGCCTGCCGTGCCACCTCGGGCTCCGTCTACTCTGCTCGCCAGCGCTGGGGCGCCTCGCGGCCGCCGTGCTGGAGAGTGCCGCCGCCGTGTCCCTGCTTCGATGTGTTCCTGCGGAGCTGTGGAGCTATGCCGCTGACCCTGCACGATGGCTGACTTCGTGCTCCGACTGGACGTCGAGGGCCATGCGGTTGACTTCGCCGCCTGGCTCTCCGATCTCCACCACCACCTTACAGGTCAGCGCCAGGATGGCCACTCTTTGGTTGTCCATGTCGATGGCTTGCTCCCCCGTCCCCCCACACCTGCTCCCCTCCCTGCTGACCCCTCCTCTGATGACCGTGAGACCTTCTCTACTGCTGCGTTTGCCTGTGCGGTCTGGGACTCCCGCGATGCAGTAGCTCAGGTTGCTATTAGCCACGCCCTCCC